AATAGGCGATGGTGTTGGTGTTGAGGATTTTAAACACAAGGCTAGGTAGAACCAGTATAGGTTTCGTAAGTGAATCGGTTGTCGGCCGCTTGGGTCAAAACCGGTAAAGCTAGCCGGCCAATTCTAGCACGCCAGTGCAACACCGCGAGTTCATCGATTAAACATGCTAACCAGTTTATTAATCTTGTTTAATCATCCTAAAGTCATCCTAGACATATACTGAACACTAGATCGAACGAGAGGAGTAGAACATAGAACTTGCCTTAAACTTTCAGATCGAAAGTTAAACTCCTTCCTTATTATTCTTCTCCTTCTTCTTCTTCTTCCTTCTTTCTCTTCCTCTTTATCTCTCAGTTTTCTCTTTCTAGATATGAATGGGAATATAGTTTTCTAACTCTTTCACAAACCTTCAATACATATATATATATATAGATAACTATAAAATCCTATTCCCAATCCAACTTATAAAATGTAAAATCATATTCCTAATCCAACTTTACCTTAATAATTAAGAAAAGAAAAAGAAAAATAGAAAATATAAATATACCAAGTTTGTTACATATATATATATATATATATATATATATATATATTATATGTAACGACCCAGCTCCTCATGGATCCGGATCATTAAACGGGTCCTTACCCGACCCAAAAACGTCCGAGGGTAATACGGTCATTTCACGTTAAATTTAAATATCAAGGTCCAAAAGGGCAAAATGGTAAATTACTACAAATCAATAATTTGAGACCCAAGGGTATAATAGTCATTTACTTGCATCGTACAATAAATAAAATAAGATCCGGGACAATATAGTCTTTTAGGTGGTCAAAATACAATTATTGCATTTTAGTAGGTCATAAAATAATTGTGTATAACCTCACTTGGGTGCCAAAGTGTAATTTAAGAACTTAAATAGCAATTACATATGTGAAGTAAACCGGTCGACGTATATGCATCAAACGTCGACTGGTTTGGGTCATGAACAGTGGTAATACCCACTGCCGAGATACCGACCGACGTATGGGAAGCCATACGTCGACTGGTTTGGAACGTGTGCAACAAATACTCACTGTGAAGATACTGGTCGACGTATGGAACTTTACATCGACTGGTTTGGGATATGATACCGGTCGACGTATGGGAAGCCATACGTCGATTGGTTTGGAACGTGAACAACAATGACCTACACTGCCAGGAAACCGGTCGACGTATGAAAGCCACACTTCGACCGGTTCTGGAAAATTCACAATTCCACTTACTGCTGTCCAGTGATGACCCAAACACACCAACATTTGGTGATTCAACCACTCACGTCACTACACTCACGTGCATGATTACATACATTTCAACAATAAATTACAATTTCAACAACCACAGCGACATAAATTATAACACGTTACTTAAAATCCACTAAAGGATTTAGTGAATAAAACTTAATTACATTACCCAATGGCCAAAATTACAAACTTATTTACATTCCCTAAAACTATGATTATACATGAAATGGCCAAATACAAAATAGCAAAAAAATCATCTTCTAACAACTTTCAAGCTTGCGTAGGATTTTCATCCACCATTTCCTTGCCATGACCTGAAAAAGATATAAGTATGGTGGGGTGAGCAATTTGCTTAGTAGGTGGAGCCTAAGACGCACCTCATGAGACCTCGTGAATCTAAAATAAAGAATAGGCCAATAGGAGTCGGGGTCATACAATGTAGGGGAAAATACAACATGGTTACCGATCTCTACATAATTAATAAGATGCAATAAAGATGTAATGCATGCCGATGTCATTCACCATTTTCACAATTTAATCATCGCTTTCAAATTGTTAATACAGCTCGCCCTTTGGTAACCCCGCAGCGACACGAGAGGAGGATTGGCTAGCTCAACCACGCTAGGGCGACTCCCTAGTCCCCTCTAGGCTATATTAACCTCCGGCCCTTTGGTACCCCCGCGGCGACTGGGTCTTTTTCCAAAACACTTTCATCAAAACATTCTTTCCCAAAACTCCCCATTTTCATTTCAAGAACAATTTTTTCCCTTCATGCAACCCAATGGTGTACATGCATGTCTCATGATCTCAATACTATGAAAATGAGGAATTTGACACAACACAAGTAAGCATGTTCTCATACTTTTAATATTTAAACAATAATGGATCATCACAAAATACGATAAGGCATGCTTTCCTACACCATTTATAGCATGTGAACAATGCAATAGGCATAACTCACAATATAAGCATGCTTTCCATATAATACAATCAAGACAAGTCTTCACATATTCACATATATACAATCAAGACAATTTAGGCTACAATTAACACAATTAAGCATGTTATAACACAATTCATGTAGATTAACTCATAAAGGTGCATGAATAATGTGAATTAGGAAGCCCCTACCTCAATTTGAGTAAAACCCTTAAAATGATCAAGAATTTCGAAATCCAAGGGAAGCATCAAAGCTGGAATTGCCAGTATGAACGTGTAGAGCTCGTCGTGCTCTTCGTTTTGCCTCAAACGACACTTAAATCCGATAAGTAATGAAGAAGTAATCTTGATTCAAAGGTTGAAGTAAAGAAAAAGAAAAAAGAAAGCTTGAGAATGAGGGAGAGAGAGAGAGAGAGCAGCGGGGAGAGAGAGTGTAAGAGACCAAAATGGTCTCTAACCTCAAAAACACACTAGTGGTGGGGCCCGCCACTTCAATTTATTTTCCATTTTGCTTTTACTTTAATTTTTCACATTGCATACACATATAATACACCATCAATTAAATGTTACTCAATGCACAACTGCACCTGGACCCAACCATAATTCCGCATGAAAAATGTGAAAAGACAGAAATACCCTTGCATTAACGAAATTCCAAAAAAATTGAAAAATGCTGAAAATTGGAAACGTCACAATATATATAATTCTAACTATCCATAATAATAATAATAATATTACTATCCATATATACATATATCCCCATAAATATATATATATATATATATATATATATATATATATATATATATATACAACTATTCATGGGTAAATATCCGTACCCATTAAGACTTCTATCTAAGTAGTCCATGGGACCCAAATGGTTGGTCCATTACTACTATCCATATCCAACTTCTTTTAAAATAAAATAAAATCAACAAACAATTTAAATACAAATAAACACATAACATTTAAACAAATACACAATTAATTACATAATCATATCACACAAATAAAACATACCATACACATCAAACAATTAAATCATTTAAGTACATAACACATAAACACATAGCCACATAAACAAATAGCCACATAATTAATTAAAATGCAATAACACAAATAAATAAATCCTATATATATCCTTTTGAAAATTAGGGGTATTACAATATCACATGAGGGGCATTGAGGGTATTTTACGTTGATTATTTATTTTCGTATTTTTTTTTTCTTAATTACAATAGGTAGTTTTGTAAATCTACAATGAAGTCAGTCGGAAAGTGGCTGGAATTGAGTTTCAGGTGTTAATTTGCACGATTTGGATAGTTGTGGTAGTGACTTGTTCATTTTTGTAATTCAAAGAGGTAAAATGTCAATTTGTGATAGTTCAGGAGGGTTTTTTGCATTTTTGCCTTCTCTTTATTTTATTTTATTTTATTTTATTTTAATTCCAAGTACAAAATTTAGATTTTCCAAGAAGCAATCTAATCATGACACAATTCAATTTACATATAGAGTTCAATGATAACTCAACATCTGAGTTTGATGGTTGTGTGTTACATCGTTTGAATCTTCCAATATTATATCCTATGTTTTTGGTCACCCAAAAGACCAGAGTTGCAAATGCCCCATTAAATATTTAATGTTGTATGGTGCCACTTGTGTTTCTTTACAATATATATACATACATTAGGTTGGTTGTAAACTAGTAATTAACTTATATATCAAGCATGTGATTTTTAACCATTTCTACCTATTATATATATATATATATATATTAAATATGATGAGTGGCAAAACTAATTTTACCATTTTTTTCTTTCTTTAACATGCCTTTACCAAGAAGAGGGAAAGGGATGGGGGAAGGGATGGATGTTTAAACAATATGGGTGTCATGTTATGGGGATGTTGTGTCAAATTTGGCAGATGGGAGGTCCATATCACTTATATTTATATCTATATATACACACACATACACACATGCTGCGATTTAATTGGGAGTCTCTAGTCACACAAACGTCTGGTAATGCACCAAACTCACAAAATAATTGATGTAATATGATCATATGGTAGTCATGATTTAGACTTGGTACCAATTAAATAACTACTATTACAATCACAAGCTTAAAAGGAAAAAAGAAACTCAAGAGTAGTAGATGTAGACCATTTGTATAAATGCCTTACGTTTGATGTAAATCCATTGACTGTACTTACTGTTTCCTTTTCGTATTTAACCCTTCATGGACTGACCTTTAGGAATAGAACTTCATGTCCATTTGTTATTTTTATTTTATCCGTCTATTTTGAAAGGTGATCAAGGAGGTCAAGTTTTGGCGCAATGGAGTTGCTCTATTATAACTTGCACGTTAGGAAACAATTGTCCGGCATATAAAAATAAGGTTGTGTACATCTGTTCTTTTTCAGATTTGTAGTGACCGGAGTTTCATACACTTGATTATTTATTTATTTATATTTTTACTTTAAAAGATGAATAAGTACCACTGAACTGCACGATTTGGTGGTATTTTCATTTATTTATTGACTTTTTAAAGAGTAATGATAGAGAGTCCGACGGTCAGATACATTCGATTAATTTTATGTAAAAATTGATATTAGCGATATTAATGATTTCGTGAAGATATCAACCATCACTCACATAAATCTTTATGTCGAAAATGTCGAGTCTAAATTATTATCCCTCTTTAAATGTTGATCCATTGAGGTCATCGGTAACTTGATACAATGAATGAGATTATGGGCATGCCTAACCAAAAGGGAAAAAAAAAAAAATTGTATGATACAACCATATACAGAAAAGCAAACACAACAAAGTCTTCCACCAAACCTTTGAAAGAGAAATGCTTACATAACACCTTCACCAACCACAAGAAGAAGAAAAACAAGAATTCAGAATTCAAAAACAATTTCACAAGACACAAACAATCTCTCTCTCCCACAGCCTCATCTTCAATTACCATGAAGCACAGAAAACTCTTTCCAACTGCAATGAACCAGACAGTGGACTGTTCAGATAACTTCTGTGACCCATCATGTCCATATGGTTGCTATGCTTACCCAGACTATTACCTTCCACCACCATCACCACCGCCGCCGCCGCCGCCCCTTTCAGACGGAAAAGACCAATTCATACCAACCTACATCATCATCTTAGTCTCAGTGCTGGCCAGCTTCTTCCTTCTGATCAGCTACTACGCGATCATCGTCAAGTACTGCTCCAGATGGAACCGTTTTAGGCCTCCACCAACCCAATCAGACGGCCAGGAGGAAGAGTTTCTCGACGAGAATCATGGGCCACCAATTGACCACCCTGTCTGGTACATCAACACCATTGGTCTCCAACCATCAATCATCAATTCCATCACAGTCTTCAAGTACAAAAAAGGCGACCCTTTGATTGAAAGCACAGATTGTTCAGTTTGTTTGAGTGAGTTTCAGGAAGATGATACACTTAGATTACTACCCAAATGCAATCATGCATTTCACATCCCTTGTATTGATACATGGTTGAGATCACACACCAATTGCCCACTTTGTCGTGCCGGGATAGTACCAAACACTGTGACGACTCCTTCAAATGACCAGTCTGGTTTTGATTTGAGTCAAAATGGAGATGCCCATATGATGAATTTGGAGGGTGATGGTGACTTGGGTAACATTCCCAATTCACTCAATGATAGTGAGGTTTGTGAGAACAGAGTTGGAACAGAGGATGAAGTTGAATCAACACAAGTGGATGATCAAAGAAAGGGCTTTCCTTTCTTTGATCATTCAAAGGAGATTGTGAATTCTCATGGGTATCTGGATGATAAGAATATGGTTATGGAGGATGAGCAACAGGTGAGAAGGTCTGTTTCAATGGACTTGTCATGTGCTGCTGCAACAATTGGTGTTGATGTAGAAAAATCCGAGTCGAGTTTTGTTTGGAAGAGAGATGGTGCAAATTCAAGCTTGAATAGAGTGGTAAATAGTTCTTCAATTGCACAGTCTCCGCATGCAAGTCGTGTTTCAATGAAGAGATCATTTTCTTGCAGTGGGGGGTCATTTTTATCGCGGCATAGTCCGAGCCCAAGTTCCATTTTTCCCTTGTAAAGCTACTGTTGAGCTCTGATGCATGTATAGATTTAGATGTCTGCAGTATAGAGATGTTTTGAGCACTTTCAATAAGTTGGGAAGATGCTCTGTTACATGTGTCTACAAACATGTATGTAGTAGAAGTAATGAAATGCTACACTGTGTACAGAGGAAATAAGATGAGCTCCAAAGAGAAGTCTGCTTGGAAGAATAAATTTTGGTTCATATGTGCAATTTGAGTGTTCGAGGCCGGGGAAATATTATATGTGTGCGCGTTTGCTTGGGAAATATTATATGTGTGCGCGTGTTTGCTTGAACTTTTCGGGAGAAGAAAAAATTGTGTCTGTACCACAAATGAAAAAATACTGGATTTTCAAAGCCAATTGGCTTAGATATGTTGTTATTATGTGGTATTTTGACACACACAAACACACACACATATATATCAGCAGCAAGATTGACCTCTTCTATATTCAATTCTTCTTGTTCATGTCATTAAGAGCATCTTCAATGGCCTTTCAAACTCAAAATATAGCAAGTGGATGAAAATAAGGCACTCCAATAGCCTCTCAAAAGATCTCTCATATTTTGAAATTGTCAAAAGTATTGTCAAATATAACAACTCTCAAATGGTCTTTCAAACTCAAAATATAGTAAGTGGATGAAAATAAAGCACTCTAATGAGCTCTCAAAAGACCTCTCATATTTTGGAATTGTCAAAAGTTGCTAAAATGAAAAGGGTTAAGTGCATAAAACCCCCCTCGCTATATAAGAAATGTGCAAGAAACACCCTCACTAAAAATTAAGTGCATATAAATCCCTATATTATCAACCTTTTGAGCAAATTACTCCATAATTATCAATTTTGACCAATTTTTTTATAAAAGCCCTAAAATACCCTTGCTGATGTAAGGAAAAAAAAAAAAAGAAAAAAAAAGGAAAGAAAATCTCTCTTTTTCTTTCTCTCTCTAAATCATCTCTCAGCTCTCTTTCTCTCTCTAGTCTCTACAATATAGAATATCACCATACATTTTCATCGCGTCTATTTAGACTTCAGCAATAACCAATTAACTCTTTGTCTTAAAATCACTACTTTAATAAATAAATAAAACTATGTATTATTGCCAGAAAATTACTACTTTGATAAAAAAATAAAAATAAAAATTATGTATTTAGGTAATTTCTAAAGCAAATTGCTTAAAATATATATATAATTTCAAGATTATATATATATATATATATAACATAAAACTAACAACACAATATTTAATTTGTGAAGACATGGAGACGACGAACAATAAACGTATTTATTTTGTGAAACTTGAAATATAAAGATTATTGATATTTCGAGTATTTTCAATATGTCCAGAGTTTATATACATACTTTTACAATAAGATAAATGTCGTGTTGGTTTTGGCATCATCTCAATTTATTTTTGTTTTAGTATGATCATGGAGCCTGAGATGCACAAGTTCAATTATCCATCTTGGTTGTTCATCAGTGCCTCTGATTGGATGTTATCTTGATTAAATTATATGAACATTGTTATGTATATTCTTGCAACCACGCCTACTCTTATATGTTAGAGGGAGAGAGAGAAAGATTTTGCTTCTAAAGCCATAGTTATTATGGGTTGATTGCATTTTTTTTAAAGATTTTGCATTTCATATATATATATATATGACTAGATCAATAAATACATGGAAGTTGCTGAAAAAGAGAAGATATAGAGAAACAAATACGGAAGTTGGACCAGAAAATGAAAACAAAGAAAGAAATAGAGGGGAGAGAGACCTTCCAAAAAAATAAAAAATAAATTAGAGGAGAGAGGATATTTTGATTTTTTATTACTATATTAATATTTATATATTTTTATTTTGTTATATGGATATTTTAGACATTTCAATGGCTAAATTAACCTAATATACTTATTTGCACAAATTGTGAAATGCAGGAGGGTTTTATGAACAATAGGGGGTGAATTGCACATTTTGTATATTATGAGGATTTTTTTGCACGTAACTCAAATAAAAATAAGGCACTCCAATAGGCTCTCAAAATATGGAATGGTTGTTGTGTCAAAAAATAGCATATTGGATAAAATGCATCATTGGAGCAGAATTGCAAAAATATTGTATTTTGAAACTGTAGCTCCTCTCAAAATTTAACATTGGTATAGAAATATAGCATTTTGCATTGGAGATACTCTAACAAACAATATATTGTGTTCTAGTTCAATGTCCCAAATGATAGGAAATACATTCATGAGTCATAGAACCTATTTATATCATAGGTTTGAGGTTTGATAAAGTGTTAGTTTAGCGCACGAGACTCTTGTTAGTATGGAGTCTGGGAAAGATAAGATGGAAAGAGGCCGCGCTTGAGACTCGTTGTTAGTACAAAGTCTGTGAAAGATCAAATGGAAAGAGACTATTTTCATTTCAAACCCATGACTTACAGGTCATAATGAAATAACATTTTCTTTGTGTCAAGCCCACGCTTTACTAGGTTTAAGGTTTGATGTTGTGCATACGCTTTACTACGTTTAAGGTTTGATGTAGTGCATAATTTTCGCAAAACAAGAAAATCAATGGTCATATTGCAAAATCATTGCCATAAGAATGATATATATATATATATATATATATATATATATATATATATATGATTGTACAATGTTAAAGGAAGCTAAGAAAGCTCAGCAGTAGCTGATGTTCCTCATGTCCACCTTCAAATGTTTCTTTCTCACCTTCCTTGGAGTGAAAGTAATCTTGTGGCACACAAAATGACCATTTATATATCTCATGGTATCTAATTTTAAATGCATGATGGGTGTCAAATCTCTATCAATGAAAGTTATTTAATTTCTTCTAAAAATGTCCAGAATTTTGTTTCACTGATAAAAATTAAAAGTGACTATCTTTTTCTTTATTTTATCACAATCATCATTATCATAATTCAATTTTTCTTGAAATTTGAGGCAGTGTAACTTTGAGCCCATACTCAAAAAAAAAAAAAGACTTCAAATATAAGTCGTAGTATTTTATAATTAGACAAGTCTAAGATATGCTTTCATTGAAATATCTATTACTTTATTTAGGACAAATCAAATCAATCAGTAAACAAAGATTCTACAACACTCTAAATTAAAGGATAAAAATCCTTTCTTTTTTTTCTTCTAATTAGTCAAAGAAAGAAAAGGGAAATCCATATTTACACTTTATCCAACCAATCACGCAGTATGGGTGTTCAATGTACATTTACTTTTAACTACCAAATGAATTCTCATTCTTGTGGACTTGGGTTACTTATACATGTGACTAAATCTCCTTTTCTGGAATAATTAATACAATGCTTTTTTACTATACTCTTTTTCTTTACACTAATAATAATTTTGAAAGCTGGTAATGGCTGCATTTTTTAAGATATTACGGACTGCTTGGTTCGTAACTAAAAATAAAAAAACTCTATAAAGACTATTTGGTTTAATTTTTTGAAAATTCATTTATAAAAATGTTCCAGTTTTGAGAAAACTGAACTAAACAGTTTTTGTATAGTTTTCTGTTTTTAGTTATTTGAAAACAGAAAACTGTTTCCAAAATTACAAACCAAATAGACCATTTGTTAGTTGAAAATAATTTTTTATAGTTATTTAAAAATAATTTTTTATTTTTTGAGTTCTTGAAATTTTCAGAGTTACAAACTTTTAAGCCCACGTCACCAGCATTTTGGCTAACCCACTTGATTGTCTCATACTGTGTAGACTAGTAATTCACAATTGACAAGAAACTTTTTAGACAAATTACCTGTATTGATTGAAAAAAGAAAAAAAAGACAGGATGTGTAGATTAGTAATTCTAATTTCAAATTTAAGTCGCCGATTCCGTACTCCTAAACATAACATTAATAAAAAAAAAGACAGGGTAGATTAGTAATTCCAATTTCAAGTGTAAGTTTTCGAGGTATTATAGACTTTCTCTCAATCTTGATTGGATTATTATGGGCCAGATCTTCCTATCTCACCTTATGCGGTTAAAACCTTTTGTCGAAACAGGCACACTATGAGCCGGTCCATGACTATCAACGAAAATAATCTATTACTAGTAAAGTTCAGGCCCAGTTAAGTTTGCGGGTAAATGGATCTCAAAACCAATTTGGACCCGCTTATTAAATTAGTAAACTTCCAAACCCATTAAATAAAGCAACCTCTACATTATGAATATATTTTATTTTTCTTTTCTTATTTTATTTTTCTTTCCAGAGACCAAACTGGCAACCCAATTTAAATATATATATTTTAAAATGGATTATTTTGAAAATTGTAGTTACTAGTTCTGCATTATGAGAGCATGTTAGAGTAAAATATGAAATTTTATTAGTTGTGACATTTGACTTATGGTTATCAAATAACTCCTTAGATGAGAGAAACATTTTTTAGCAAACGAATCAACATTATATAAAAAGGTTAAAATCATAAAACCATTTTATAGTAGAATTAAAAAACTTCATGAACTAGCAAAATTTATCAAGTTACTCTCAAACTCGTGACCGACTTGTTACATGGGCTGTGAAATATAAAATTTGACCTTACTATTTAATACAATATTAAATTGAAGGCAATAATTATTATTTTAAAAATAAAAATACCCCCGAGTTCTTCCTAACCACTTTGAAAGTCAATTTTAATTTAATAGCTTTTAATTGATATTTTTGTAATTTTAAAATAACAATTATAACTTTTAATTTAATATTAAATAGCAAGATTAAATTTGACATTTCAAAATTCATTTAATGGGTTGGTCACGGATTTGAGGGTAACTTGATAAGTTTTGTTAGTTCAGCAGTTTTTAAAATTTTATTGGGAGTTTTATGCACGAATTTGAAAATAGAGCAAAGTTTTGTGATTTTAACCCTATATAAAATTTACCAATCAATTTACATATTAATGTAGTGGCAATATGACAGATTAGTTAGGTGAAATTATTCATTGCAACCACGGATGGCTACAAACGCTCCACCACCATAAAATGATCATTTATCAATTAGTAATTGAGTGTGAAGTGTTTGTAGCCGTTTGTTGTACAAAATTATTCATTGTAATGATTGTAATGAATAATTTCTCGTTTGGATAAGTATTTTTTTTTAGTCAAAACAATAGTATGGGTATTTAATTGTCACATAATTAAATATGCATGTACAAACTAATCAGAACCTAACCCCTATAGACAAATCAATTTCAAATGAATAAAATTGTCATTATATTTCAGATCATATTGTTATGGGGAATCTCTCTAGTTAGGTGTGGAAGAGATATTTATATTGGTTCTTTCTCTATTAGTTAGGTGGATGACTTGCAAGGCTTTTTTATCTTCATTTTTTTTAACGACTTGTTTGGATTATAAAATATATGTTGATTTGGTAAAACTAATAAGTTGAATAAAA